TGAGTTTCTGGACGATATATAATATAAAAATTTGAGAGATTTTTTTTCCTTAAAGAGATGGAGAATGGGTAGAGTGTAAATTATTACGAACCGTGTTTGTAAATATGGAACGATAATGATCAAGTCCCTTTCTTTATCGATACAACGTTGGCTGGACCGGGTACTTCACATAGGCAATAAACCCGAGCAAGTTGAATCAAAAATTCAAAATCGGGACTTATAAACTATTATACGAGTGTGTAAGTTTACCTAGTGCACCTACATTGTTGGCTGCGGATTCCTTCATTTAAAAAAAAAAATCAGGACTTATGTTGAATCAAGTTTAATTATTTCAATTGCACCAAACGGTCAAAATAGTTACCATAGACTTCAACACGGAATTTTTTTTAAGTATACCAAATAAATTCACAATAATTGAATTAATTAGAGATAAAATAATACAAAGACAACCAAATCAAAACACCCAATTCAACATAGGCCATGGACCAATTCATAAGATGTATGTTAAAAAAAAACAAAAAAATAAAATAGCATATTGTCCACATCATGTGGGCTAACATAAATTCAAAATTTTCTTTACCAAATACAAAAAAAATTGTAGGCCACCACTAAATAATTATTTAAATTTATTTATTTTTTTTCCTTTTTTTGCAGTGGGCTACACACACTAAAGGTGGGCTGCGTGGCCACGAAATTAAAACCCAAACCCAAATATTCGATTGTGCGCGTGCGCGTGTGTGTGTGTGTGTGTGAGAAGATGGTAAAAAGGAAAACACGCAGTAACACACCGCGAAACACACGCACACTAAAACACACCCACCCACAACAATAACAACTAGATTGGACCTCAAAGTCCATTATCCAATTCGGTTTAATTTAATTTTGGTACGCCCCTCTTTTATTTATTTTTTTCTTAACCCCAACAATAATAATAAACCAAACCCCAAAACATAGGTCCAATTTCAAAAGCCCAATTCTATCTTTCTCTCTCCTCGCCTCCGAACTCTCTCTCTCTCTCTCCTCGAAACCCTAGATCTGGGAGCTGCAAATCGCCGGTGATCGCCGGGAATCGCCTCAGCCTCCTCGGATTCGAACGAAGAACCGATTTTTATCATCGGTTTCTCTCGGGAACTGTCACTTTTGCCGGTACGAAAATTTTGAGATTTGGTTACGAGTTTTTTTTTTTTTTTTTTTTTTGAATTTCTTCTCTTTGGTTCTTCTTATTTATCAATGATCTATTTCTCTTGCTGGTTAATTTATATTTGATTGAAATTTTCTTCTTAGTTCGTGAATTCAGCGTGTAAATTTTGATTTGGTTATCCCTTGGTTTATCATAAGTATGGGGTCTGCAGATCTACGTCGGATCTCATGTTTTGATTGATCAAGTTTGCTTCTTTTAAACTTTACAATACTCTGTGCTTGTTTTTGGTTTTATTTGGGAAATTAGAGTCCAATTATGATTTTAAAATTAAAATTTTTACTTTTTTATAGCTTATGCCCTGTTCAATTTAGTAGATCTGCTTAATATTAATGTTCGTGGATCTTCGTTCTGTTCAAATTTCTGGAGGAGCGTCTGATTTAAAATATGGGCTGGGAATATATAATTTTTGAAGCCCATGGTTGGAAGAAAAAAGCTAAATCTGTGTTGACTCGTTTTTGTGGTGTCTTTCTTGTTTTTCGGTACCTGGTAGATTGAATATATGTCTAATATGGTCTTTTTACTCATTTGTGTGTATGTGATAGTATGATGGGCTTATGTGTGTGTATTTGATGGTATGGTGGGGATTTTTATATGATGTGTCTATGTGATGGTGATATTTTATATTTTATAACATCGTGTTACTTTGGTTGGCTTAGTGACCTGTGAGCCCAGGTGGGACCGGGTTGTCTGAATTAATTATTGTAGTGAAAATTTGTTTTCTCAAAATCATAAATGGGTATACTTGAGTGCTGGGTAGAGATGAAGTCCAGATTTGATGGGTTGGACCCATATCTACTGGCCCATTATGTGGTTTAGGTTTAATTCATCGCCAACAGAACTTCAGTTCTGCCTTAACTTTGTCACTCTAAATAGTTAAATACCATGAATGTGGAATGGAAAATATTGACTGCTGTTCCAGACGAGCAACTAGTTTGATTTTAGCTAAATCTGAAGGCTTTCTGAAAGTTTAATGCACGGAATTTTTGGTTACTGCTTGGGTTGTTCACTACTTGTTAATATTTGTTTTCATAATGGAGCATCAGTTGGCCAAATTTGTTGAAAAGTTCATGATAAGACTATGATTAGTTATCCCATAATCATTCATCTTGCTGTATTCTCTTTTTCATTATAGTTTAATCTTTCGTTAAAAGAATTCATTGTGATTGATCCGTTGCATCTTTAATGAATTTCACATTCTTCTTCGTTGTGTTTTCATATTCGCAATCTCAGGTTATACATTGTCAAGGCATGTATATTTATCCTTTCGACCGCACTTGCTGCCAGTCTGCTTCTGATGGATTTTTTTTTCTTCTTTTATGTGATGCTGTTTTTTATTAGAAATGTGATGGTTAAGTAAAAAGAATCCTGATTCCGATTATCAGAAGTCAACATTGGTTCATGTTAAAGTAACTATATATATATATATAATTATTTTGGACTTGTTGGTAAAGTCTGATGTGATGTGACTTTATTTTATTCCAGGCATGTTGAGCTTGGTGATATCTGTGTTCGTATCACTACCTTCCTTGTCGATGATTATTATTACTATCTATTGTTTTGATTTGATTGTTCGAGCTCTGTAATTAAACTGTACCTGTTGATGTCTTGTATATTACAGAAACGATTAAACAAATCTAGTACCTATCTCTGGAGATGGAGTTGGAAAACCCTAATGAGATCATGAGCAACGAACTTGTACCGATGGAGGAGACACAGCCGATCGAGTCAGACTTGCAACTCGACATTATAGACACTGAGCCCAACCACTACGAGATGGCCCCACCAGACATCACCGAGCAGCCGCCCACCAAGCGCCGCAAGAAGAAGTCCATCGTGTGGGAACACTTCACCATCGAAACAGTCGGTGCAGGGTGCAGGAGAGCCTGCTGCAAGCAATGCAAGCAGTCATTCGCCTACAGCACAGGTTCCAAAGTAGCTGGAACGAGCCATCTCAAGCGCCACATTGCGAAGGGTACTTGCCCGGTGGTCCTGCGCAACCAGGAAAAGAATCAACAGCTGGCCAACAGCCCTTACAGCGCACCCTCGAAGTTGAGCATCTTCTCCGAGACGCCAAAGAGGCGGTACAGAACCGCCAGCGTGCCTCTAGTCTCGTTCGATGCTGACCGCTGCAGGCGAGAGATTTCCAGGATGATTATCATGCACGATTACCCGCTCCACATGGTGGAGCACCCTGGCTTTCTGGCGTTTGTCCAGAATCTGCAGCCTCGTTTCGATATGGTGAGCTTCAACACTGTGCAGGGGGATATTGTGGCCACTTACCTCAGGGAGAAACAGAGCATCCTGAAGGTGGTTGAAGGGATGCCTGGGCGAATATGCCTTACGCTGGATTTATGGTCCTCGTCTCAGAGTACTGGCTATGTGTTTGTGAGTGGGCAGTTCATCGACAGTGACTGGAAAATGCACCGGAAGCTCCTGAACGTGATCAGGCAGCCTTATCCTGAATCCGACACTGCTTTTAGCCACTCTGTTTCTGCTTGCCTCTCCGATTGGGGTATGGACGGCAAGTTAATCTCTGTAACAATCAATCAACCGCTGAGCGAAGCTTCAGTTGACAATCTGAGGGCTTTGCTCTCTGTCAAGAACCCACTTTTGCTCGACGGGCAGTTGTTGGTTGGGGGTTGCCTTGCTCATTCGTTAAGCACCATTGTCCAAGACGGGTTGGCTTTTGCGCAGGGGGTAGTCAAGAAAGTCAGAGACAGCGTCAAGTATGTGAAAACTTCGGAATCGCTCGAGGAGAAGTTTAATGAGATCAAACAGACGCACCAAGTGCCTAGCTCTAAGAAGCTTGAAATTGATGACCAAACTCGGTGGAACACAACCTATGAAATGCTGTCGTCTGCATTGGAACTGAAGAAAGTCTTCACCAAATTGGGCGAGTCTGACCCAGATTACAAAGACCCCCCTTCAGAACAGGATTGGAGTCAGATACAGACTCTGTGTCAAACCTTGAAGCAACTCTTCGACATTGCCAATATTTTGACTGTACCACCTACAACGAAAACAATAGCGGTTTTCCACGAAGTGTGGAAGGTCCAGCTGGACCTTGCCCGTTCTGCGAATAATAAGGAAAATGATTTTCTCAGCGGGATGACAAAGTCCATGTACGAAAATTTCGACAAGTACTGGAAGAGCACGTGCTACATTCTTGCTATTGCTGTTGTAATGGACCCACGGTTCAAAATGAAGCTCGTTCAATTCACTTTCGTGAAAATCTACGGTGAAGAACGGGCAGCCTCGTTCATTAAAATAGTGGATGAAGGGATACATGAGCTTTTCCACGAGTATCTTTCTTTTCCGATGCATTCTACGCATGATTCTTCTTACGGTGAGGATGAGAATGGGCAGTCGGTCAAGATTGAAGATTCTGAAGGGATGGATAGCAATGGAGGTCTTTCGGATTTCGATGCTTATATAATGGAGACGACCAGCCAGCTGTCGAAGACTGAGCTGGACCAGTATTTGGAGGAGTCGCTCTTGCCACGCGTGCATGATTTCGATGTGGTGGGGTGGTGGAAGCTGAATAGGATCAAGTACCCTACTCTTTCGAAGATGGCTCGAGATGTTTTGTCGGTGCCCGTTTGTACCGTGCCTGGTAATATGGTGTTTGATACTGTACGGAGGGAGATGGATAGTTACAGATCCTCTTTGAGGTCCGAGACCGTCGAGGCTCTTATATGTGCTAAGGATTGGCTTCAGCCGGAGAAGCTGGAAGGTCCGGCGCCCGTTATCAAAATGGAAATTCCGATTTAGTTTTTCTTTTTTTTTTCTTTTTTTTTGAAATATGGTGTTTTGTTTAGAACTATTTGGTAGGCTAGTAGAGATGTACTATTTTCTTTTTAGATTGGCTGGGACTGTTTGCATCATATGATTCTATCTCCGAGAACTCTATTGTACAATACTATTGAACATTTACTAGATTTAATTCACAATGAATTTTATGTTCTTGGTATTTAAATTATAGGGTAAATTACAGCAGCCCCCCTTGAGTTAAGGTTTATTTATGAAAAAATCCCTCCTTTTCCCGTTATTACATCTACTCCCCTTCTTTTATAATGGTGGATTTAAGGAATTTACAAACTGCATGGGGGTTGGATGTAATTTCTCAAAAAATGAGGGTTTGTTAAGTAAATAGATTTTCCCTGAGGGAGGTGGTTGTAATTTACTCTAAATTAAACTATGACAAAATAATACGGCAAAAGTCCCTCCAATTTCAAAATATATCTTATACCTTCCCCTAAAGCCCAAAATCCTCTATCAAAAGCCCAATCGACTGCAAATTCTTTTTCCCAATTGACTGCAGATTCTCTCCACCAATCTTCGTTGCTTTCCGGTGAAGCCGGCGCAGTTTCTCCCCTCCGGCACCGGTCCCATAGCCTAGGTAATTTACCCTTGAAGTTTTACGTGTGAAGTGTTCGCTCTGATTCTATGCGCACATATGGAATAGTGTATTCAATCGAAGTTTTTGTATCAGATTTTTTTTCTTTTTAATTTGTTTTTGCTGTTATCCAATTCATAGTTACTTCGATTTTATCCAATTCATAATGAATTTTGGTTTGGTTTGGTTAGGTTAGGTTAGGTTATACAGAATGTCGATTCTTAAATTCTTCCGCACTTTAACTTAGGGATGATGCTTTGGCAGACTGATTGAGAAGAGAATTTATTTTTTTAGTTTACGTAGAAACGAAGAACTGTTAGAAGGTGATGGATCTCAAGGCGTTCAAGTTAGACATTGATGAGCTCATCATTCAGTTTGCTGAGGTATTATTATTCACATATAAAATTATTTTTTTTTCTCTCTTTTTTTTTTTGAATTTTGATGTAGATTCTGGTAATCGTTTTCAGTCTTGGTAATTCATGTTTATTGCATGTAGTTTGATTCGACTGCTTTTGGTGAATTCAAGAGAGTGTGGCTATCGAGGAAGTTCTCGTATATTTTTGAGGCCAGCCCTTCCACTAACCAAGGTTTTTTTATGCAGTCATTGTATGCGCATTCCATTGGTAAGTTATGTAAGTCGTTAGTTCGTTAATCGTCGTTTATGTATTTTATAAGTCATGTGGTGATGTCTCCAAGCTTGTTGATGTATTTAATAGTGCAGTTCACATTCTTTTCGAGCACTTTTTTCACATTTAAATTTGAAGTTAATCTCAATTATATTTACCGTTGCGTGGATAATTTTGCACATTCGAAAAGACTTCCATTATTTCGATGTGTTAAGATGCACCGTAATCCTTTTTTTACAGTTTCATTTCCTCTTAGTTTTAACTTATATGAGGTATTTTTCTAATTGTAGGATACATGGTTTCAGCCGGTTCTCTCTCAAGTAGATTGGGTGGGCTGTATTGTTTGTACTGTCTGTACGAAACTCAATCCTTCAAGCCACCTTTCAAAATATATTTGTCTCTCGGTGAGTATTCCACTGATTTATTTTCTTGCATGCTCGATCTTGAATTTGATGTCAGGTCCTACTCGATCTAGTATCTATACTTGGTCTCTGCATTCACATGGTAGCTGTTAATGCTCAGATTTCATCATGCTTCTAGGGGGACTCAATTTGGCCTGTCCTAATTTTTTATCAAAGTAATAACTTCTCTATTTTGGCAGAACAATATCGAATATAATGGTATGGTTTGAAAGATGGGACTTCGCTTACTTCATTCAAGGTGGGTTTCCTGAAACTAAATTAAAAAATGTCAGGGAGATATACATGTACAGTTCTCTTTATAAGTGAAATGATCTATAAAAACAGTATACATTTTGCATATAACCTGTATTGGCTGACTTCCGGAGTTTCTTTACGGTCTAGACAAGAGTCAAAACAATTCACTAGTGCTAATGGCTATACTAACAGAGTAGGTAAACATATATATATATATATATATATATATATATATATATATATATATATATATATATATATACACTTGACAAAATACTCTCTGCAATAAAAAATAAAATAAAAAAGAATTCAATACATTTGACTGAAAAGTGATCATGATTTGACGAAATTAAATTAACTCATGGTATTGCTAGACTTCCTTAACACGAGACGACATGGTACATGAAGGCAACGTACTTAAAGCCTCTTACGAATCTGTTAGTAGATAACAATTCCAGCGTAATAATAGTGAAAAAAGATGACATTGGAAAAGATCGCTAGATTACCGCCATCTAGCTTTGTTGTAAGTTTCTCAAATGTTGTCAATTTGTGTTTGTATGCTCTTTTCACTGCCATGCAACCAACTGTTTGTCAACCGTTTGCAAAGTAATGATTGGGTGTGAAATGTTTGTAATCGAGATACAGGAATCTTTTATTTATACGTCCAGTTCATCAGCACTTATATGATTGAAATCGGAGTCGCAACTTATATGTGGAAAAATGAAATTATCGCTTTGTCTTCTAAAACACTTATGTTTCTTGTCCTTTTGCAGGAGAGCTGAGACAGCTTAAGAAGCTTGCAATTGATGCAAAGACAACGGGTGTGAAAGTAGTTTCTGCTTTACTGAAGACTATGCTTGAAAAGAACATGTTTCTTTTTGGTTGTGTGGGTGTAAACGAAGGCTCTGCAACTGAGAGAGTAAACGAACTCACAGATATACAGAATGCGCGAATCCAAACAGCATATAATAAGTAAGTCCCAATCTCTTCAAACTTGTCCATTTTCATCACTTGGATGTATCTCACGATACCATTTTGACTCAACAGGTTGTTTGCTAATTCTCGGTTGGAGCACTTCATCCACATGGACATGGTGAGTTTCACGATTTTATCGATGAGGACCTTTTGCTGGAAGTTTCAATCGGCAATTTTGAATGAAAAAACTAATTTTTCTTTTCTTTTTTTCCTCTCTTCTGCCATAAGGGTGTGGAGCTTGGTGTTGATTTGGTCAAAAAAATGTCATCTGATTATGCAGCTGCCAAAGAGCTCGCCATCAAAGGTATCTTGATGAAAAACCTTCTGTTACTAACAAACTACTCGTACCGTTCTAATTGTTGACCTTCGGTAACTTTCACTAGTATCGTTGTTCGGTAAAAGATGCCAAGAGGATATAATGCATGCAGATAGATAAATGTTAATCCTGGATTCTTGTCCAGTTTTATCTTTACAATAACAACTTATCAAATTAATTGAATTTATATGCGTTCCCCAAAAACCTCCGATTCATTTCACTTAGTTAAAATGTTTACCGAATTCTCGTGCTATTGAAGATGCGGGACAAGTTATAGACGTCGAAAATATAAAGCATATAGCAGAAAATAGGAGACTGATTGGAGATACGATGGAGAAGACTGCTGCGGATTGGAATTCACAGAAGGAATTGTTCTACGAACAAACGGGATTTAGCCATCTTCGTGGTGTTGCACCTCCAAACCAGGAACCGAACGATTCTGAGCAACCGCAAACTGAGGAATCTGAAGAGCATGAAAACGATGACATCTTTGGTAAGGAATTAGAATCTTTGCTATTTTAACGATAGAGCAATTTGATTGATTAGAAGCTGCCTATCTTCGGGAAGAAGATGCATAGTTTAAAACCTTAGTTGTGAGAACACTTATTAAATTCACATATCTGCTGTTTGTTTGTTTCTTGCTAGGAATTCTTTTTCCCCTTTCAACCGAGCTTTTACATAGATATCATAATTGTCATAGGGAATTTCTTTTTGTTAAATTGCAATTTGCCCCCTTGACTATAGGGCCATGTCATGAGTAGCCCTGCTAAAGTGCTAACACCACCAACTATGTATTTTAGCCCCTAATATTAAGGGTCCGCAAGTAATTAGAAAAGTAGTCCAGATTATAGTTACACCTGGTGAAATACACCAGATTATAGTTACACCTGGTGAAATACACGGGTTAGATCTTTAGTCTTTACCATTCATATAGACACAAATACACACACACACAAACACACACATTGGTGTGTGTAAATAAATAGTAAAAATCTACCTGGTGTAACCTTACAGAAGGTGTACTAAGAAATAGCCGAGGGTGCTTCTTTATTACTTAAAACATAACATTAGCTAATTCAAACAACATAAAACGACACTCATAATTCCACAAATGTTGTGGTATACATCTAACATTATTTTTGTATTACACGAGGGTCCAAGCGATTTTGGGTTTTCGATTTTCGATTTCTGAGCACATATGGGACTAATAGTCTACCGTCTACAATGTCGAAACCCCCCGACCATAGGAGTATATTCTTTATCCTCTTCTAATATACCCTCGTCATATGCTCAAATCAAATCTTAGCCATTAAATGTGGTGATAACAATCTTCACAATTCAATCTCAATCTTGTGAACTCTCTGTTCCTCCGAAGGCATCTCGAGCAACTCCAGAGTCACCAAACCCGAAGCCGAATTGTATTCAAAGTCAACACTAGCGGACCCCACCGAACACTTGCTCGGCTTGGCGGACAAGTAAGCACCGAAACGGCCACACCCCTTTACCTCCAACCAAACGCCCCCCGATGGCGTGACATCGTCGTACTGGAGCCCTTCGATCGCTCCACCGCCGTTGATCATGTCAACAAGTCCAAATGGGGCGAATTTAATGAGCCCTTGGTTTAGTGCTTTGATTGGTGTGACTGTGAAGACCTCGTGCTCGAGGACCTTGAGAGAAATGGGCATGGCTACGTTGAGAGGCAGAACGGTAATTTCACGGTTGATGTGGGAGAATAGGGCGACTTCCCCGTTCCAGTTAGGGTCTTGGGCGGTGTCTGAAATGTTGTGGACGTCTTTGCCCCTGACATGGCCTGTGATTGCTTCGGATTTAGTCTGGTGGAAAGTGTTCTTCCTCTCGACGCTGTTCCATGCTGCGCCTTGGCAGTTGTACACTCCGAGTACTCCGGTGTGCTTGTTCATGTTCCATATCTTCAACAGACTGATATACATAATCAATAACATGTATTAGACATGAAATCGAAAGCAATTGTGTAATAAATCAAGAAAATTTAATTAAAAAAGAAAAAAAGGGACCGAATTCTCACCTAACACCATCACGGGCAGGGTCGGAGAATAGGCAATCCTTAGTGGGGCGACCCGGCAAAAGAGCCCGGAGAATGGTACCGTCAGGAAGAACAAGCTTCCTCAGAAGTTCAAAGTTGTGCTTTCCAGGTTTATCACTGTTGCATACAAACTCCCCGTTAGTGATAAAATCCAAACATTAATCGAATCGAAAATGCATTATGTCCAAGAGACGCCAAATTACGTGAGATCATTACCTAACATAGACAGGTCCACCGCTAAGAGCCCTAGCGGATCCATGGTACTCAGCCGCCGGATGTAGAGAATGGAACATGTCCCAATCGGGCAACATGATCTCTCCAAGAAACACACTGTTGTACGCAACCGAAGCAATGTGGATCGTGTGCGACACTGGATCCCGCGGGTAGAAATCGTCGGACGCTCTCACGATAGCAGTCTGTTTCGAGCTGTTTCACCCAATCAAGAAACGTATAAGATAATCAAATTTAACCAACACCAGAGTGTTCATATATATCAATCTATTCTAACAAAATAGTTAATCAAAAAAAATAAGATTGAGATTAGTAAATCATCTTACCAATAAAGCGATTCGAGATTGTGGCTCATGCAAGCAATGCAACCATTGTCTGGGAAATTCCTCGCAACCGAAGCATCGAGCGCCTGATGGTACTGCCTAGTCAGCTCAACGCCGCCGCCAAGGCCCCCGCCGAGGGTCTCCAATATACACTGCACATCCACCTTCACCCCATCAATCCCGGCACTCGCCAAATAGCTATGCAGCTCGTTGTAGAACTTGTACACGTTCCTCGGGTTCACCAAACCCAAACCCTGGAGCGCGATCGCATCCGTTTTCCAACCCGGTTCGTTTTCGAGCACACCCTTGGACAGTTTCGGGTACTGCATAGCCGATTCATACTCCTCCATTTCCTTAACACCGGGTTTCACACCGCCCCAGTAGCCGGTAATCGCGTGCCACACGTACACGTATTTCAACCCGTGTTTCTCTTTAGCTATGGTGGCTATGTTCTTGATTCCAACAGACGGGTCTTCTTTTTTCTGGAATTTTTCGTTTTCCTTGATGCCCGTTAGCCTCAAAAGCTGCGGCTGCCCTGGTTCCTGATTTTCCTGATTTTCTTGCTCTTGTTGTTTCTTGTGTTCGTCGGAGCCGACAGATTGCCATCCGTCGTCGATGATGACGAACTTAGGCGGGGTGCCGCCGGATTGGAGGCTTTCTAATCCGGCCTCCACCCCCTCTTGGGTGACCTCTTGGTAGAATGCGTCCCACGTGCACCACCCGAAGTAGTCGACTATTCCAGGGAGTTTCTTCTCGTTGCGGAGGCGGAAGTTTCCGAGGTGGAGTTTGACGGCTTTGATAGCTTCGTAGATGGTGCCGAACGGGTCGGATCCGGCGCTGATGTAGACCGCGTGTGTGAAGGATGACCCGACCGTTTGCGGGTCGCCGCTCTCGAGGCAGAGCTGGAGCTCGTCGCGATCGTTGCCCTGGAGGCAGGCTTTGAACGGACCTTCGATTAAGGGGAGGAACACGGTGTAGATGATGCCGTTTTCCTCGTCGCCGGCGAGATCTGATTCGAGCTGGGAGCCTTCCTTAGATTCGACGAGGAGGAACTGTGTTTCGAGTGGGATGTCACGACCTTTGTCGCCCATTTTCTGAGCCATCCACCATAGCTTGAAACGGAAGCATGAGAGGAAACGGACGTCGCGGAGTGTGCCGAGGGAGACGACGTGGTTGCTGGCGTCGCCGTCGAAGACGGCGCCGAGGAACACCCCCTCGACGGGCCCCGCCGCCGCGCCGGAGGTGGCGATGACGTTGTCCGGGACGTTTGTGAGGATCGTCCGCTCCTTCACGACGAGCTTCTTCTCTGCGATCCGCACTGCTGGCTTGATCGTCATTGCTTCTGATGATTTACTCTCTGCTTCACTACTCTGTTGATTCAAATTAAAAAACCTAATTATTCAAATTCAGAAAAAAAAAAATAGATCTGCCAAACTTCAAAATTGAAAAATTGAATCCGTACCTTATAAGCAACAATGTAATTAGGGCGAAAAGAAGAAGAAGAAGAAGAAGAACGATTGGGAGAAATGAAATTGAACGGAAATTTGTTGTTCTTAATTAAAGGAAGAGAACGCAGTTGGAGAGAAGTGGATGAAAGAAATGAGTTGAGAAATGGGGTATTTATAGTGGCGAAAGCAAGTGGTAGTGTTCGTGAACTGTGAATTGAGAGAGAAGGTACCACCACCATGATTGATTAATGGTGGTGGTGTGCCTTTCTCTCTCTAGAAAGACTTTCTCTCTCCTCTGTATCTTGTTTGGGATTGGACGAAGAAATCAAAAATATAAAAAATGTTTAATCCAACGGTGGAAAATAGGGGTTGCCTCTTGATTTCGTCGACGCACCAACTACCGATCAAGCTGCCACGTCGGATCCACGCAATGCCAGCTCCTTTTTCTAATTACCTACTCCTTTGTTTTTTGTTTTTTTTTCTTTTACTCATAAATTGCGTCACGAAATTGACAAATAAATGAATTAATTAAATGGAAAATTCAATACTACTCTTTCTATTTTTGATGCATGCTTCCTATTTTTTTTATATTTTTATGTTTGCCACGAAACAAATTGTATAAATAAACAATATATATATATATATAATATATATTGGATGTTTTGAAATATATTATTAAATTAATATTTGGTTGTTGAAAAATACAAATTGACTGGGGCAATCAATGATGTCTATGCAATTTAAAGACAAATTAGACCAACCTAGGACACGTGTTTCACGCAGAGTGGACAGTGAATTAATGGGGTGTTATAAATTATTGATCTGCTGATGTGTTTCCACATCGGTTTTTTGGTATCGACAAAAAAAAAATAGTCTATTTTTGTATTATACTACTAATTAAAATTCATGGTGTATAATTCAGCATGTAGTTTATTTCATTGTGGATAGAATTCCTTGCTCGATGACTCAATTGTTATGATGCACGGAAAGTTCTATACGCATGTGCGTGCTTCAGTGTTTCGGAAATTAAACCGCCATGACACTTGTCTGAAATATTAAGTGGCCATTTAAGTAAATATTTAAAAGTTTTGGGGACGTTTTTAGTATTAATCAAAAAATAGAATCGCGTTTCCACCCAAAAAAAAATCTTAAATTCTACGTCTTTTTTTCACTTCTAGTAATGTTTTAATATGTTTTGTAGATGATAATTTCGTACTAAAATAAATTTATATGCCCCGATCGAATGTGATTTGTGGAATGATAATTCTGATTTGAACTTGTAAATTATATATAATTTGTAGATACGAATAGGTAATTGACGAAATGCACATAAGTTAAACGTTATAATATTTTTTAGAAATTATGAATGTATTCCTATATTTTTAATATTTACACATTTTCCCCACATTCTTGTATTCTACTTTTTGGAAATTGAGATTTCTCCGTGTCCCGTTTTCCCGTAGCCGTGTCGGCGTTTTCGTATCCGTGCTGCATAGGTCAATTGTCTTGTTAAGTTATAGGGAGTTGATAAATACATAAGATTTTTTCGTTAAAATAAGACATTTTATATTTATATTAACAATTAACAATTAACAATAATAATAATAATAATAATAATAATAATAATAATAATAATAATAATAATAATAATAATAATAATAATAATAATAATAATAATAATAATAATAATAATAATAATAATAATAATAATAATAATAAAATAAACCTAATTAAACCCATCCCCATCTTATTTTTTCAATTTTCTTTTTGTAAATTATCAGATGTGGCATAGTGAGAGACACGTGGCAGGTAGTAGGGTTGATACACGTGGATCCAGCTAAGATTAAGGCCATCAGGCGGCTGGTATTTACTGATTTTGTTGTGATTAAGTAATTAATTAGGTCAATCATGGTTGATGGGCAATTTGATAATATAATCAAAGTTGAGGTGTATATAAAAAATAAAAATTGGTGCAATCAAGAATTTGTTGTGGGCAAGTGGAGAATTCCACCGCCGTTTGAATTACTTTTTATAAGTCCAAATTATCATCTTTTGATTGTTAGGTCAATTAGGTATTTGTTTGCTCATAATTTATCCTAAATCCAATCCATAGTGAATAGTTTTATCAAGGTTCATTAATTTAGACAATTGAAATAAGCTAATTAAGAGTGTGTTTGGCTAAACTTATAAGCTGTTAAAAAATTTTATAAGTTCTTTCAAAGTATTTAGTAATTTTTTTTAATATAAAAGATCTTAAAAAATTGGAAAATTAATTCTAAAAATAAGACGCAACAACTTATCAATCCTTAAATCAGTTTATCAAATGTAAAAGCTTAATTTTTTTTTTTTTTAAATGTAAAAGCTTATCAACTTTTTGAAATAAGCTTGAAACGGGCCCTAAGTACATTATTATTATGAATCTGATATTTTGTTTTTTCTACTATTATAGATGATGATTTCGTGTACGAAATATTTATTTAGCCAATGATTGGATTAGTAAAATGCAATCCAAATAGTGAAAAATAAATACTAGATAAAATAGTTTACTTTATTAAATAATTTGACTTTGTTTGGTGTCTACTAATCTTTATCGTTGCCTATATTTCTTTCAACAATATTATTTATTGGACTTCCCACTCTTTAATAATATAATCGAGTTTTCATTAAATTATTTATCATTAATTTAACTAATTTTATTTTAGGAATCAAATGGTTCCTTTATTCGATTGGAATAAAAAATACTTAATTTTGAATTTCAAATTACATTGCCTTGTATTTTTTTTAAAATAATTAAGGTTCCGACATAGATTCGATTAAGAAGATAATCTCGAATAATACGAGGTAATTAATTAATTAATTGTATCACATGACCCTTCGGCCATCCAAGATATAATTTCAAATAAAATAATACTAATAATTAGTGTGGAAAAGGGACCACGTTAATTAGTACTAATCACAATCATTAAGAGTTGTAGACGTGGTACATTTTACTTTCAATCAACATTATTATTAGTCAAAAACAAGCAATTACTTTTGTGGAATATTTTAATGTAATTTTTATTATTGCACTTGTTTGATTATAATTGGTTGGAATTAACTAAATAATTTGTCCTTGTTTTGGTTTATTTTTTGAGTCCATATAGAAAATATGAGTCAAAGACGAGTTATTATCTACATAGCAGGGACACAGAAACGGCGATACGAAAGTTTAGGGAAAATATATAAATGAAGATATATAACTTTATATTAATTTGTTTATATGTATTTTCATACAAAAATATTTAAAATAAATTTTACCTAACTATCAATTAATTTTACTAAATTAAATTTTCACCAATTATGACTGTATTTATTTTATGTAAAAACAAAAAAAAGAATTAAATACTAATCGGTGGCAGACAAGTTGGTCCATGTTCATCATGTATTCATGTTCTACGTTTCCTAAATTAATATAGGGACAATTGCATGTGGTGAGCTGTATCAAAATTGAACTGTCACTTTGTTGAATTAAGTAACCGATAGAAATATGTCGCGATTTTGAATCATCGATCTACATATAATAATACACATTTTATGTGTATGTTTACGTAATGGGTAGTTATTTATATAAATCAACGGTTCAAAATCACCCGATGTGTTACACCAGGTGTATCATCTCATAGATCTGATTCATCGACGTTTTTTTTCTTCTTTCTATATATATATATCTTTATGGCAAATTACGGCCACCCCCTGAGTTGTGGTCAAATTACGAAAACACCCACTCCTATTTGGGTAATTACAGCCAGCCTCCTCAACTATGTATTATCTTACGAAAAAACCCGTTCAGAGATAAATTTAGAGATGTTAAATCGGTAAAATTGAACCGAAATTTCGGCACGCCAACATTTCATACCGTTAACCGAACTGAATATACAATTTGGTTCGTAAATAACCGAATTATATAAATTTTATGTAAAAATATTTATAAAGAGGGAGTGGCTGTAATTACCTACACAAGAGAGGTTTTTTTCCGTAATTTAACCATACTTCATGGGTTGATCTTAATTTGCCCTATTTTATTTATTATTATTTGATATCATTGATTTAAGCACATTTGGTAATTGTTGTACAAGCATTGATTAAATATCCAACCAAAACTAATATATATTTTTTCACTTTTTAAGTATTATTTTATTAGAAGACATCCAAAAAACCAAACACGCGCCAATTTAATTGTTTAATATTTTTTTTATATGCAATCCAATTTGAAAAAGATTACATATAAGGACAATATATGTAAGTTGTAACACACTAAAAGCGTGTGGATGTAATAAAAGTGTTTATAGCCATCTTTAGGAGAGAAGAAAAGTTTGTTTAAAATCGCCATCACACGTAAAAACGTGCTTTTATACTTTCTTGTACGTCTCCATACAAGACTTTTTTTTCAACTTTTGGCTGTCTAAATTGGAATAATTTAGGAATATTATTATTTATTGTAGATATAATTGGTAAAATATTGACCTTGTTTTCAATGCCCTATTTTTTTTAAAGAAGGTTTTCATAAATACTCGAATATTTCTGAATTAATTGCCGGGTAAAACTTCGACGGAAAGCCAATAAAATGCATACGTGTGTACACATTTGTCTGTGGGAATAATATTCGAGATAACTTAGATACAATAAATGTAAAACCGAAAAATAAATTTAGTACTTAATTGAAACTTGGAGAATATGACTAGTGTAAAACAATTAAAATTAACTCTAATCTTTAAGGAAAAAAAGATAACTATATTTTTCATTAAACTAATGGGATTGGGCTTTTTAAATTTGGTTAGTTTAATTTGGATTGGCAATTATGCCCGATATTAAATCAAAGTTCGAAAAAAATACATGAGTCGAGTTTGAGCCTATTGCAATGAGGCCCGATTGAATATGAGTTTGAGCTTATAATAATGAGGTCCGATGATATATGAGTTCGACCCAACCTAAGCCAGACTCACATGGCCGACTGTCAGCCCTATTCGGAATTAACATTTTAAACGATTTTTTTTTTTTTTTGGAAATAAAGTTAGGAATTTGAAAAGGAAAAGAAAAAAAAAACGAATTTTCTTTCATTGTTATGCATATAATTGTAAAAAAAAAATATAATATGTTATCATATTTACAGGTGTAAACACATTATGGTATATAATCTATACAAGACAAACGAATGAGATCGTGATTGATGATTCACACAAGAACTTAATGCTAAATTGTTGATCACTTGATCTATCATGTGACCTTATTCAGAAAAAAAAAAATCAGAAATAATCAAATTAATAAATATTAGCCAACCACGTATGTACTAATTTGTGGTATTTCAAGAAAAAATCCAAAAAATGGTGGTGCCATCTGTAGAACTTACGTATAATTTCAAATCATAAATTGCGACTTTTTTCATGAAATATCGTACGTGTGTGATGGGATGTGATAATATCGTTTCGTTTATAATAATACCGTTTTTACTTCAAATATAATTTGACCACCTTTGATACTGTCTGTAATTGACAAAATTCAAAGTACGGAGTTTATAGTTCTTTGAGTTAATTTTCTAATCAAACTTGAATCGTCGAAGTTGGATGCTGGGTTAGAAATATATGAATGAATCAGTAAACATTGCCAAGATTATGATAATTTGAGTTATCTAATATTCAGAACGTAACTCATTCATGCATAACCTTGTCAATCTGACATCCAATTTACATGATTTAAGTTGGATTAAAATATTCGAAATCGCGTTCAAAATCAAAATTGTATTAGTGAATTTGAAAAAAAAAAAAAAGAGAAAACATTTACAATAGTAATAAATAAATAAGTAATACAATTTATCAGGCTGATAAAACGACAGCGGATCGAATATCAATTAGAATATACAGCTGCGGACAATGGGATATGGACACGTATGCGGTATTCCCAACACTTGAGGGAAAGTATCCACTGCTGCGGATCTCCACACGTGATATGCTTTTGTCTCATTATATTCAGACATGTGCCCCCGTGCTTTAGGACATTGTACTTTTCACTCTTTTTTCACATTCTGACAAAATGTCACGTCTTTTCCCAACTCACGAGGTACCACCATTACCAAAAAAAGAAAAAAAAAAACAGTTTCCAATTTTTTTTTATTTTTTAAATTAAATTGAAAATTGAAAATTAGTATATGGTATTGATGGGCCAATTTAAATAAATCAATTGGATACAATTTTTAAACGCTAGGTCCAAATAAGTATCGGATATGGGCAAGGCCCGTTTTAGAGAGAGAAATAGTAGAGTGAGAACTCACAAAAATAAGTAGAGGGGGAAACTCCCAAACTCAGAAACCCCCTTGTTTCCCTCTCGATTTTGGGCGCGAACAGGACTCACAGAAATTAGGGCTTTGAATCGGTAGCCAGAAATTTTTATCGTTGGTCAGAAATGGCGGATTTCGGAGAGCGGATTGAGGAAATTAAAGTGATTATATCGTCGAAGGACAAAGCATTGGCTTACGCCGAGCTTCTGCAGTTGCAGGAAATCTCAGCCGTTGAATCTTCTGCCTTGGGTACACTCGCCGATTCATCTCATGCTATCCTTTCGTTTGTTGTGGCGGATATCCATGATAACGAAGAAGAAATGTGTGTATTTCTTTCCCTTTTGCTTCTTACATATTTTTTGGTTTCCGTTTCCAGCTTAATCGATGAAAATGTTACTTAGTTTCTGAAAAGAAAATGGCTAGGTTGTAATTTATATCTGTTATCAGAGCTTCTCAGGCGTTGAAGTGCTTGGGTTTCATGATTTACCACCCTACCGTCGTGGCTTCCATCAGAGGTAGTGTTGCAATCACTGTGTGTGTTTTGTGTGTGTGTCTGTGTGTTAGTGTTTGTGTGCGTGTGTTTTTGTGTGCGCGAGTGTGTGTGTGTGTGTTGTGTGTCTATTTGTGTGTGTGTGTGTGTGTGTGTGTGTGTGTGTGTGTGTGTGTGTGTGTGTTTGTGTGTGTGTTTGTGTTTGTGTTTGTGTTTGTGTTTGTGTTTGTGTTTGTGTTTGTGTTTGTGTGTGTGTGTTTGTGTGTGTGTGTGTTTGTGTGTGTGTGTTTGTGTGTGTGTGTTTGTGTGTGTTTGTGTGTGTGTGTGTGTGTGTGTGTGTGTTTTTGTGTGTGAGAACTTCGCAAATTCCTTGGTTGGCTTTTATGTAGGGGCATCTACCTGTCTTGCCTCTTTTTTGTGTACCTCACTTTATTTATTGTGTTTGTCACTATATTTGATTCTAATTTAGTATCTGCAGATATCCCATGATATTTGTACGAATAATGGGATAAAGTGTCAATTTAAACAAAATGAACTCCACCGTGACCTTTCTAGGTATACGAGCTTTTCCTGGTAGATACTTAGGAGGTCTTGGTTGTCACTTTTATACGAGTCGAGGGATATATATGGAGACAATAACATGTGTTGGTGTGTGCACTTAGTTCTTTAGAAGCTAATTCCTTCCCCTGAACTAAGTTACCATATCTCGTATGACACGTGTGTGTGTGTGTGTGCACAACAAACACGTGCATAGGTATTGTTGTTTGCATGCTTGGATACAAAATACGGAACATAAAGCAACCTTGAAAGATGCTTATACACTAGGTTCTATTACGAGGTTGATGTTTTTTTTATGCTACATAGGTGATTGTGCTGATGCAATAATTGAATCACTGGAGAAGGTCATTACGACAACTAAAATCAAGGTTGGCGATACTTTCCCAAAATATATTGGGGTTATGGTATTTCGTTAAGAGGTTATTTACGAGCTTTTGCTTTATTGTTGCAGTCTGTTTGTAATTTAGGTGTGTGGTGTATATCGATCCAACAATTCAGTTCATCGTTTCTGGCTCCACATTTACAGTCTTTGCTGAGGGCAGTTACCCATGCCCTTGATAACCCAATCGGGTCGCTTTCAATAACATTCGAGGCAATGCAGGTGCTTGTTCATTTCATCTAACGTCACAAGATTATGTTGTAATTCGCAATTTTGCAAAATTCACGTTTTAACCTGCTTGAACACATAAAGTTTGACAAGTAAAGAGTATAGTAAAAACTCCACTGGCTTGGATCTTCACTTAATCACTTACTTGAATAATGCCTGTCTTATTTTCTATTGCTCTCGTGGAGGTATTATGCATGCTTTCAAGGCCGTTTGTCCCCTAATTATATTCTCTGTTTTCTGCCATGACAGGCTGTCGAAAAGTTGGCTTGTACATTAACTGAACATATGAGAAGCATGGCAAGTTTGTGGACTCCACCGATTTACAGAAGGCTTGTCAGTCTTGATAAAAGGGACAGAGATATATCTGAGAGATGTTTGCTGAAGATTATGCCCATAATACGTCCTCCGCCAATTACTCTCGCCAAGGTGAAACACGTTATAATTTTCCTTCAGTTCATCCATTGGTTTAGTTTGCTTTTTTTTTTCCCCTTTATGTTTAAAGTCTTTTAAACAAAGGAGAATACGTCCACTTTTGATATAAATATATGTACAATGTTCTCTTATTGCAATAACTGGTAATACAAAGTAGAAGGCTGCTTAAACATATTCCCTCAGAATGTTGGGCTTTTCTTAATTGAGATTTCCCTTCAATTTAAAAGTGCTTTCCTGCTGTGTCTTGGATTTTTACATCAATATATTTCCCCTCTTCATATAAATTCTTCTTTTGAATTTGCAACTTTGCCTCGTTGTGTTTATTTATTTAATTTCTTGAGATATTGGACGGAGTTCACTGTGGTGTCCCACATGATGTAAAAACATGCCATATTTGATGTGTCTTAATCAGGCACTTGCTGAAGATATGAAGAAAAAATTGCTCGTGGCTATGAAGGAGCTACTGGACAAAGGGATGAAGATTCCCTGTTTGCAAGCATGGGGGTGGTTCATTCGCCTTCTTGGACCATACGCAATAAAGAATAAGCATTTGGTTAATGAGATGTTAAAAGTTCTCGAACAGACGTTCTCAGACTTTGACTCACAAGTTCAGATTGCATCGCTGGTATTCTATTCAATTATATTGAGCTATTAGATGTTTAGTTTAAGGTTGCCTTTTAAATAAACAAACGAGAGTAATGATTAGAGGAAGTTATTGGTATTCGTATTATTTGCAGGTCGCATGGCAAGGTCTAATTGATGTTTTAATCGAGCCCGAAGTTGAAGGGAGCCTCAACAATTTCGCTAAGCGACACGATGTTCAAGTGTTGAGCACATCCGAGTCGAACAACACTCAGTGCGAAACTGACAGACACACAAAAAGAATTAAGCTTATTATGGAACCCATCATAGGAATCATGTCAAGTAAATGTGATGTTTCCGTCCGTGCGTCCTGCTTGAGTGTATGGTCTTATTTATTACATAAACTCGGAGCTTCTGTCAGCTCTCAGACAGTAATTAAAAATGTCTGGGAGCCCATTATTGAAGGTGTCTTCCGAACTGGGCCAGACAAACAGAGCATCTGGTTATGGAATTTCTGTCAGGACCTTTTTGATATTCTGATTTTGGGAAGAAATAATACCATAGGTGGTGATGTGGCATTTGGGAAGTGCTCAGTGAAGCACTATCCAATAAACTGTTCTACTTGGAGCCTATGCCAGCTGGACTTCTTCATCAAAATGATATCCGTACTCGTTAATCATGAGTCCAATAATTCCACCGCGACATCTGAATTCAGAAGGCTGGCAAGTGATGCTGCTCTAAGGTTATTTGGATCTCTTCTGGAAACAGTGCAAAGAGCTCTACGATGTGTGTCCACTACTTACGACGATGCTATTCGTTGTTTGAATACTATATTCAGGTTTCTTACGAACATGTGTGAAAATAGCAAGCGTTATTGTCTTCACACATGCCTCGAATTTCTAAAGGTGGCGACGGAGAGATTAGAACCCTCCGTTCTGGAATCTCCTCTTTACAAGGTGGCCTTAGAGAATACGTTCATTAAAAATTTAGAAAGTGGTAATGAGATTAGATGTGTGACATTGCCCGGTATCTGCTTAGTGGATTTTGAGGAAACCGTTCTTCCAGTAGTGTATTTGAGTAATCTCTATTTCTACGTTGTCGTAAATTCATCTTTGAAGGCACACGAATCTGAGTCCGTATTGCAGCACATGCAAGGATATTTGAAGTATTTGTTATCTTCATATAATCCTGGGGAAGTTCTTCATGCATTTACTCGTTTGCTGTATAAAAACACCGTGTTTAGTAGCTTACAGATTTGGGTTGTTTTAGTAAACTCTCTTAAAGAATGCATAGAAGGTAAGCAAGATCAATCAATACAGAAAATGGTGAAAGACGACATTGGTTATTCTGTTGTATTGCATCTCCTATCGTATCCCTTTGCTTCATGGTCGTTCTGTCAGATGAACGTTGAGCTACAGATTATTGTCGAAGTATGGAAGTCGCTTTATGTATCTGTTGACCAAGCTTCACAATCTGCTCATTTGCCCGACAAGAGTTTCTCCGAAGATTTCTCCGCGATTCTGAATGGATGCATTGATCAATTTTCATCGGAAGTTGATACGGGAACTGAGCTTCAGCTGAAAGAAAGGAAATGCAGTGGTGGTTTTGTTCTACTTTCTGGAAAAATTGCCATGTGTGTCCTAAAGCAATTGGCTTTGAGCATAAAGTCTGACGGGCGGCATAATATAAATTGCGATGGCCGAAAATCCAATATCTTGAATAGCATGGCGTTAGCAGCTCGGTAAGCATGAACAATGTTAACATTTTATAATACGAAATTGCGTAATACTATAAGTTGCCTGAAAAGAAGTTTTGGATTCTGAAAGTAAAGGCGCTATATGTGTAGTCGTAGATTGAGAGACTAAATATTGTTGTGGCGTATCTTTTCTTGTAGATTGATAAATCGATGCTATCAATTACAATATGTGCGATACTTTGCCAAGATTTTCTTATCGCATGAAGATCTTTGCAGGTTTTTGAAGCTGTTTTGGGCGAATAAAGAAAAAACCGACCCATCCCATCTCTCTGTGGCATCAAGGTATTCGTCACTGTCGACTTATTGTTTATCCCTTTTGAGAAATGTAGCATTAAAATTTGGCAACTCTTGATTTCAGATTTTTGTCGGAATTAGTCGACTTTGTTGGATGCCTTCGCCAGAAGGAAGACACTCTTATATTAATCGAGGTAAACTTTTTGTTCGCTGTATATTTTTTATGTTCTGCAAATCCAGAGTTGCTCATGTGAAAGCTAATATCCGATTTCTTGTTTCGCCAGACTATATCGAGTCCATTGCTCGAGTGGCTATCGGAAATGCATATTCTTGACAAGAACACAAGCTATCAACTTCAACTACTATGGACCGAAATGCTTAAAGCTCTGCAGAAAAATCGACCACCGACCGATTTCAACTCTTCGTTGCTCAAATTCCAACAGCCCCCTCTCGAGATAGCTCTAGACCACCCAAATCCAGCTATCTCTAATGCTACTATCAATTTCTGGAACTCAACTTACGGTGCACAAAACAAGTTAGACTTCCCCAAAACCCTAGCTCCTGTACTACACAAGCTGTCTATATGTGGGAAGATTAACATTTGCAGTGGCGATCGCTGTATAGAAGATAGCGCGCAGACGTTTAAGGTGACGAATACGTTGAAGAGATGCTCGAAAAGAGTCGAAATTACGGGGGGTGCCGTAAATGTATTTGAAAAGATTGATTCGGGTTCGAAGAGGAAACGGCTGCATGAGCTGACGGAGCATCAGAAAGAAGTGAGACGAGCACAGCAAGGGCGGAATAGGGATTGCAGTGGGCATGGACCTGGTGTAAAGACATACACTGCCCTTGATTTTTCTCAAGGAAATGAAGAATCACAAGACAGCCCCAGATGTTAGAGATTCTGAGTCAATCTTGGAGATGGTAAGAAAAGTTTGTAGATAGCTTAGAATCTTTTGCATATGTAAATAAATTTGTAACATCTGTTGTAGAGTTCTTGCTGCATTATTCTGAAATTTCGTAATATTATTTTCTACGTATATATACATACACTCCGACACACTTTTCACATACGCGCGCAGCGCCAGGCCCGTTCCTGAGAATTCGGGGGCCCTAGGCGAGGTTTAAAGAACAACAGAAAACAGGGGCCCCTATTTGATAATTTTATTTTTTATTTTTTTATCAATGGGTGTTCGAAATTGAATGTATTAAAAAAATATAAATAATATTTTCTAAAAATGATGAAATAAAAGATTATGGGGGTTTGGGGGATGCCCTCGAAATATTTTTTGAAATGTATGAATATTAAGTTGTTAAAAATGTGGAATAAATTTCAAAATTAACAATATAATTTGCTGGTTCACTTCCTCCCGTGACGTATAATCTTTATAGCAAATAGACTTCATAAATATTTATAAACTTGAATACACTAATGAATATTGATTCTTATTTACCAACCTTCATTAGGAAAGTTGGGTAAATGTCTAGGGTTCGAGTTCCCCCCTCCCATACTTTCCCTTGTAATGGACTTGAATTTATTCAAAAAAAATAAAAATATTGATTTTTATGTTAGAATAAAAATAAGTAATTACGATATTATAAATTTAATATTTAGGGGCCCCAAAGTTAGGAAAATTACAAAAATATCTATTGATCATTTAGCTTAAATTTATTTTAGAACCGATGTTCCAAAATATTATATATAATAAATTTTTAAAAATAAGTACTAATATATAAAGTGTAAATATAATAATTTGGGGGCCCCAAATTTTCGTAAAAATTCGGGGGCCCTAGGCGACCGCCTACTTCGCCGCCTCCCCTCAGAACCGGCCCTGCGCAGTGCACACACATATACACATACTCCGACACCCTTTTTACACACATACATGCACATGAACACATATTTCTTCCATTTTGTTTTTACTTTTTGAATTTAGAATATATATATATATATATATATATATATATATATATATATATATATATATATATATATATATATATATATATATATATTATATGAATTTTTGATTTTTCGATTTGATTTTAGTTTTCGAAAATAATTCCAAAAATCCATCCTTTTTTTTTCGAAAAAATATATTTATAGTATAAACACTCGTGTATTATTTTATGCTGCTAGCGAAAAGGAAATAAATTTTCGATGTCCATCGATTCTGAACCGAAAAATTCGATTTCGGAACAAGATTTTTCTTTCAAATTTAAAAAATTCCAAATTTCCGTTTTTTCTATATTTTTTTTTGGAATATAATTAAAATTAAATTTACACTTGAGAAATAGAAAACTATTTTTTTTCTTTTTCCAAAAGTACTAGTTTATTTAGGGTAAATTACGAAAACCACCCTGAATTATGAAAAACGCTCCCACCTATTCGTAATTATAAAAAAACCCCTGAGGTTTGTTTCCGTCTTACACCAACCCTTCACGGATTTTTTTTTAATTCCAGGGAATAGACTTTACACAATTTCGTTATGACCTATTTAACACACATTTTCTGTTAAAAAACTAGATCAACACTTAATTGGAGGGGGATTTTGGTTATTATGGATAAGTGGGGGTATTTTTCATTATTTAGCCTAAGTTTAGGGGGTTTTTTTGTAATTTACCCAAATTTTTTTTTGAACAGAAAAAAACATTTAAATCATAATCTGCAATCCAAAATGGTTGAGAAATCAGCGGTCCCTACTCATTCAAAGCTACACCCCATAGCACCGTATCCCTGCCCAAGGCCATCTCGTCTAAAGCGTCTCTCTTCTTTCTCTATATTCGCTCTTTCTTCGCCATTTTTACTTTTCTCTCTCCTCTCTCTCTCTCTCTCTCTAGAAATTGACGCATCGCAATCGAAGCCAACACTCACAAAGGCGCATATATACATACATTTTTGCATACATATTTATTGCTCCATTTTTATTTAGTTAGGGTTTAAGAAATTCACAACCCTTAATAGCAAATTCGGGGCTCCATTTTGAATGCGTTCGAGATTCGAATGTGAACTTTGAAGTTGACAGTGACTGAGGGTTTTTGAGAAGCTAGAGGTTTTCTTCCTTTTCGTATCTTCCTGCAAATCGTCGATCTGTGAACGAATGGATTCAGCATCTTCGTCATTGCTATTTCCCCCGGCGGATGGGTCGCCGGCAGCGGCGGCGAAGGTGGAGGACGACGGTGCTATGACGGTTGCGGCTGGGCTGGCTAAGGAGGCTGCGCTGCTTTTTCAGGCTGGGAAATTTCTTGACTGTTTGGCAATTTTGGGTCAGATAATGCAGAAGAAAGGGGACGATCCGAAGGTAACTAATTCTTTTTATTACTTTTTCTTTTAGGTCGATTCATGGTTATCTTCGTTTTGCTGCCTGGGTTTTGAGATAAAGATTTAAACTTTTGAACTTTTATTCCTCAGAATTCAAGTTGATTGTTTGGATAAAGCGATACTGGGTAAACATTGGAGTGGATTGAACATTATAAATGAAGATAGCTCTGTTTATACCCTTGTCTTTGCTGTTTTCAGATTTTAAAACAAAAATCACTTGATGCAATAGGCTACAAACTTAATTTTTTGAAGCGGTGAAATTCCTTCAGCTAGAATTGTTAGTAGGCGCTGGAGTGATTATAAGATTTAGGAGTTGGATTGATTATAGGGTGTTATTGGGTTTTTATTGTTTCATATTTGATAAGTTCTTTCCATAAGCTTTACTTTCTACCCTTGTGATATTCCTCGAGGTTCTTTACATGGTTTGATATCTTCTTCTTACAACAATCTTGTTAATTCTTATCGCTAGACTTTTTTTTGAATCTCATACGGAGTGCTGTCTGCACGGATTACTCTATTTACAAGTTACACAAGCACCAAGACTATGCCGCATCCTGTTTATTATCGTCAAAGTGTGCTTAACTTGTTGATAAGTAAACCATAAATTCAAAGAAGAGAGGAATTCTTATAATCACTTGAATGTCCAACTTGACTTGACTCAGATAAGCGTTCACTGACTAGGATAATGAAGAAGGGGTTTCTTGAACTCCCATTGATATAATTGAATTTCTGTTATCTTCAAGTCTACAATCCAAAGATGATTGAATTTTGTCTTTATAAACATGGATGTGAGGTAAAAGTATTGCAATTGCAGTTTCAACCAAACTGATGTATGATTTATCATCTTTTTTATTCTTGTTTACATTTTAGGTTCGTCATAATATGGCCATTGCTGCTAACTTTCAAGATGGCTACTCAGATCCTCAAAGGCTTATTGAAGTATTTGAAAATGTCCAGGTTTGTACTTTTATTGTAGTCCAATCACCTCTGAATTGGATGTGATCGTTTCTTGTTGATATTCACACCTGTATCGGGATTTTATCCGTATCATTTGTGAACTCTACTTGACAAATGAGTAGTATTTTACCTTTCTTATTAGGTTGAAGGCCAAATTGAAATTGAGGCCTCAGTTAGATGATAATAATGATTGTGTTCGCACTACCCCCTGGCCACTTCTGTCAGTAACCGATAGATGAAGGAAATTAGGAGCATATTATACCCATTTAGTATGGAATGGCAATGGAAAAATTGGCAATTATGACAAGTTCTAGCCATTCTATTGTTCATTTTTTTCAATTATTTCATCCCATTTTATTTATGGATCTTGGCAAGGACTAATCATACTATAATGCTTTGAATTGTTATGTATTTGACGCTCTTACTGGTCCAGGGGGTATGTCTTTGTGATATCCCTCATGGTTGTGGGTGAAAATTGGAATGGTTTATTAGTTGTTATGTTGAATCCTCTAGTAACTTCATTTAATATTTTTCGCCTAAGTGAGTATAAATGCCAAATAATTGCTAGTGAAGTCTGTTGAGATAGTCACTTTGACGAGGCCTAACCTTTCGGGCCCAATCACTACTTTGTCCAATGTGGGGTCATTATAACATCTTACATTGACAATGAAGAATAAGTTGCAATAATTCAAAAGTATAAAAAATATACTCTTCTGGCAACTTATTTATGTTTGCAAAGCGAGGATCAATGCAAAGTATTTTCTTATGGACTGGTTGCATATTTTCTTAGGATCAGGCTAAAAATGATAAACGCTGCTGACCCTTGTATGGGTGGCAAACATAGTTGTCTTTACCATTGCATGGAACTGGAAAATTGCTGACGCTCTTTTTCTGAGAAACATAACTTTTCATTTATTAACTTGTGTCAAGATTTTCCACCGGAGTCTTCTTTCCCCCAGATGTGGTGTTCTATTGTGGATATAGAAGCTTTTATGTAAATGGATTTTCATTGTTATTATATTTATGTTTCTTTTGTTTTCTTTTTCCAACTTAATTTAGAAACAAAGTGAGGAGCTTGCGCATACATCTGTAGAGCACTTAGAAGTTGTTAGCAGTGATGGAAGAAAACCTATGACTGGCATGCTGGAAAATAATAATGCAGCGGACAATTTTTCTACTTCATCAGTTGTTTACAGTGGCGAGTTTGACACCTCGGTGGCTGTTTTCAACATAGTATGTCATATTTCTATTGGTTTGGCTGGTTCTTGATTAGACGGTGACACTTTATCTTTATTTTAATGTCCCATCACTAATCTGGTTGCAGGCTCTTATCTGGTTTCATCTTCATGAATACGCAAAATCATTCTCATATTTGGACACATTGTATCAGAATATCGGACCAATTGATGAGGTGAAAATTGCACATTAATCACAAATCACATTTAGTGATACCTGTGATGGGATTTATTGGTTAATTTTTACGAGGTAACATGCAGGGAACAGCCCTTCGTATATGCCTCTTGTTGCTGGATGTTTCGTTGCTTTCTCACAATGCATCAAGATCTGCTGTAAGTCCCCTTTGCTTTCTTTAGATTTATTTGATCATTTTGTTTGATGCTAGAGAGTTGCAATATTTCAATGGGAGAAAAAAAAATATTGTTTATTGTATGTAATGATAACACCATCTCTGACATAGTGACATTGTATTAACTGAAAGATCTTTGATGTTTTGATGTCGAAGAGAAGTAATTAGTCTTATTTCGAAAACTTTTACACACAAAAAAAAAAGTTTGGTTGCTCTACTTCAACTGAATAGAGGCAACCCAAAATACATTCTATTCATGCTACTTGAGCAACCCGTTGTTTTTTGTCTCGTCTTGTCAACGGAGGCATGGAATGTCCAGTATGCTGCGACAAGTTGGCAATATGCTGTATTGATCTGTCGGCAAATAAGCCATAGCTTACACTGGTGCTGTTTGTGGCCAGATTGATTACAGTCCCTAATAGATGATACGCGCTTGAAGGAACATTTTAGATTATTGGAAAAATGAAAGATACTATAGAAACTCTCTAAACCTTTAGAAATAAGTTTATTGTTTCATTTGAACAACAATACTGTCATAATACAGTGAGAGGATCTTAGTTTTGATTTTCCAGTCTGGACTTAAGAAAGACATTGTAATCAGAGTTGTAGCTTTTATATTATGCTTCCTTTTGTTTTCCACATTAGGAAGAAAAAAGTTTCTAGTATGTCAATTGGGAAACATATCTTTCAATTGCTGTGGTTAAGCTGTTTGCAGCTAATCACAAAGCTCATTATCCGTCATATCTATTATCTGTTCTTGTTTCGGAACTTTTGAAATCTATTACTAAGTTGCAATATGAATCTGGCTGTCTGACATGCTTTTGCCAGTCTGAAGAATGCAGCTATTCATTTGATTTTTGGTAATGCTGCTTAGTTTGTAGTGCTGCAGAAGATATTCCTAATGTATAGAGCATGGTGATTTAAGTTGAAGTCGATACCTCCTATTAAGTTCATGGTTTCAAATGCTTTTGTACCAGATAACCTTATCTGACATGGAAAGATGCTAAAGATTTTTCTGACCTTGATTTTATTTTTACAGCATCTGGCAAGATCCCTCTATGACTTGTATTTCTTATTATCCTTTACATTTTCTCGTTTTCTGATCTAATAAATTTCCCACTATTATGTCTTGAACCCTTATAATCCTACTAAAGTTTAACGGGGTTGACGTGTCTATTAACTTCATGTCTGTTAATACTCTGAACTGTCGAGTCCTCTGTGTATAGTTTTTTGGTTTGATCTGGTTTGGTATATGGCTTCTCTCTGATGGGCTACTCTTCTGTATAAACTTGAAATAGGTATAACACTAAATAGGATCTTGCTATAATTAGAAGTCAGCAAATTTACTCTGCCATTTATGCTTCTCGTGTGAATATTAACTTGTTTTTTGCTGATGTCACTTGAGTTAAAGCTGATTTTAGATTTAATTTCACTCTTTCTTTTCACGGAACCTGAGTCAGTTAAATTTCATTCTTCAGGATGTGATAAGCTACATGGAGAAGATCAGCGTGACTAATCAAGTAGAGAATGGTACCTCAGCACTACACCAATCTTTACTAGTGTCAAAATCCACTCTACTTCCGAGTAATTCATCCATTCTTGATTCTTCTCACCCCGATTCAGTAGTTATTGCAAATTCATTGGAAAATTCTTTAACTAGAACTTTATCCGAGGAAGCACTCGAAGATGATCCGTTGCATTTGCTATCTTCTCTGAACATCACTGGACAGAATCTTCAAAGACTTTCCGGTATTGCATCTTCCAATGACCATCCAAGGAGCCAATCAGAGGAGCCTTTATCAGTCGTTGACTTAAGGCTCAAACTGCATCTTTACAAGGTTCGCTTTTTGCTTCTTACGAGGAATCTCAAAGCAGCCAAGCGTGAACTTAAGATGGCTATGAACTTAGCTCGTGGCCAAGATTACCCCATGGCTCTGTACTTGAAGTCGCAGCTCGAATATGCTCGAAGGAACCACGGCAAAGCAATCAAGCTGTTGATGGCATCGAGCAATCGCACCGAAATGGGAATCTCTAGCATATACTACAACAACCTCGGGTGCATCTATTACCAACTAGGGAAGCACCACACGTCGGGTGTGTTTTTCTCCAAAGCCCTAAAGAACAGCTCGCTTGTGCTGAAGGAAAAGCCTCCAAAACTTCTAATTGCATCCTGGGATAAATCCCTTCTGATATTATATAACTGTGGCGTGTATTCATTGGCTTGTGGGAGACCCTTCCATGCAGCTCGTTGTTTTAAAAAAGCCAGTCTTGTTTTTTACAACAGACCTCTTCTGTGGCTAAGGATTGCCGAATGCTGTCTAATGGCCCAAGAAAAGGGACTGTTAAAATCGAATTCCTCTGCTTCAGACAAATCTTGTGTTAGAGTTAATGTTACTGGAAGAGGGAAATGGAGGCAGCTTGCTCTGAGGTATGGGTCTTCTTCGCCAAATGGTGATGATTTATTTCCAGCTGATGAAGAACAGCTTGATCTCTCAATGATTTTTGCATGGCAGTGTCTTGTCAATGCTTTGTATTTATTGAACTCGTTTGAGGCAAAATATTCTAGAACTGGTTTGCCCCTCGGTATGGAGGAAAGTGAACATACGAATCACAAAAGTGTAAGTGGTGATTTCAATCAAGTTAATTCGAACGGTGAAGCGAAAGAACTAAAGGGTGGAACCAACCAGAATGCATCTTTGCAGAAATGTGTAGCCGATTATGAGTATATCTGTACGAAGGAAATCCACATGATAAAGCAAGCCACTCTTGCTGATTTGGCTTACGTGGAGCTTGCACTAGGAAATCCTTTGAAAGCCCTAACGACAGCAAAGACACTACTGAAACTTCCGGAATGTTCAAGAATGTATGTTTTCTTGGGAACCGTGTACGCAGCCGAGGCTTTATGCCTGCTTAATCGGCCAAACGAAGCCTCCGAATATTTGCTGTTGTATGGTTCTGTTGGAAACAATTTTGAGCTCCCGTATAGCAGAGAGGACTGTGAAAAGTGGACAACCGAAAAACTGGTTGACAGTGAAGACTCGAATAGCGTGACCACTGACAAATCGCAGGTGCCTGTGTTTTCCAGCCCCGAAGAGGCGCGTGGGATCTTTTGTGCTAATTACGCTGCCAATTTCGCTTTGCTGGGAGACTTTGAGCTGGCTCAACGATTTGTGACGAAGGCATTATCTGACATACCAAACAGCCCCCAAGCTATACTCACTGCAACTTATTTGGATCTAAAGCGAGGTAAGATAAACGAAGCTCTTGCCAAGTTGAAACGGCACAGTGCCGTTAGATTTGTTCCGAGCGGTTTAAAGGTGCAAAACGGTGGTTCTTGATCGTTATGTTTTATTTATTTATTTAATTGGCACATCATTCTGAGTTAGATGCTAGATTGACAATCTCCTTTGGAAAAAGGGATTTGTAACATATATATAGTTCAGTCCAGGGAATAAGTTTTTTTACATTTTCTTTTTCTTAATTTTTTTTTAAATTATTATTAAGAAGTTTTTGCATTTAGCTTTAGTAATTGGTGGTGGTGGTGGTGGTGGTGTGGCTTAATTTTAGTGAATTGCAGCAGATTAATCCCCATCTCTACAATTACAAGAGATATGTAGCTTTGATTCAATGTCATATAGAGGGGCATGAGATGGAAAAACTAAGTACTAGATCAATTTTCTTATTACATGTTTCTTTTGTGGCATTTGATTTATTTATTTTGGTTAAATAGCAGTTAGCCCCCTGTGGTTTGAACTTCGTGCAAATGACTCCCTTGTACTTTCTATATAGCACATGACCTCCTTCTATTTTAATATAAGCAAACAACCCCCTTGTACTTTCAAAAATGTCATCTTTGTAACTAGCATGATTATTTACCATATGGGGGGTTATGTGCTTATATTGAAAGTACATGGGAGTCACGTGTATAAAGTCCAAACTACAGGGGTTTATATGCTTATATTGAAAGTATAAGTGGGTCAAATGCTATTTACCCCCCAATTTTTTGGAAGTTACTATGTTTTAAATAAAATTGAATGATTGCAATTTTTAATTTTTTATATTATATTAGTTCGTGTGTAAATAAATACGAGTTTGATCAATTCAGAGTTACGTGTAACAACATATTTTTACTTACACGTATATGTATTTATGTAAACAATTTGTATTGTTATGTTTAATAAATTGAATTAAAACGAATTTTTGACTAAGAATATAAAATTGAGTGTCAGAATAGTTTAGTTCCATTTTCAGCCATTTTTTTTTTTTTTGATAATTCATTTTCAGCCATTTACTTCATAAAACCATTAAAAAAAAAAGGATGATATACAATTTTTCTTTTTATTTAAAAAAAATAAAAAAGAAATCAGAAAACGTGATGCGCACGTGGGGAGCAAGGTGCTTTTTCAAGAACAAGAAAGGGCTCCTTTTCTTCTTCTCTAGGCTAAGTAATTTTTCCCAAAGTTCTCTTCGTTTTCTCTGTAAAGCCAAAAATTGACAACTCCACGCGCCACCGGGAAATTATCTCTCCTTCGACAATCCGTTTTCAGCCCCTCGGCGCCTTCTCGGGTTAAGGTACACCATTGTTATTGCTGTTGTATCGTAGGGTTTACCACGAAATGTGTGTAAATGGTCGATCTTGTCGTTTTTTGTGTTTGTTCTAATTGGTCCGGATTTCGTTGATTTTTGTGGAATTAAAACCGTACAGTTTTACATGTTTGGTCGATCTAGGTTTTCGATTTTGTTGTTGATTGGAACTGTTGATGTTTTAGATATCGATTCCATTTTTTGAGTTTGTTTCGTTTCGGATTTGGAATTTGTGCTGTAATGTTTTTGATTTCTTTCTTCCTTTCCGATCCATGGACGATCTCCGGTTCTTACGCATTAAGTTTTAGCCCTGGTTGGTACGAAAACTATGCCATTCAGCCAGTGTAAGGGATTTGCACGCAGCTTAATCTCATGAGTTGTAATGCTTAATCTTTGGTGGAATTTTTTCTTTGATTCTTCCCTTCAAACCGGTCCGATTGGAAGCTTGGCTAAGTTGAATTCAGCCCGATTTTGAGCTCGAGCTCGAACTAAAAAAAATATTGCTAATGCTTTCCTTAGAAACACAGTCAGAAACTGATTTGTTTGAGGACTCAGAAAACCACAAAAATTAGCGTTAACTATATATTAACTTGAAGCAATCCTCTTTCCAACTTGACATGTAATATGTAGGTAATTTGCTAACTTGGTGTAATATGCAGAAAATGGCTGGAGAATCTAAGAATGACGCCGTGGAGTCTGTCACGTCTAAAGATCCTGAGATTAAGAAGACACAGAAGAAGAAGAAAGGAGTGCTATCAAGATTATGGAGTGCACTATTTAGAGTAAAAGGGGATGATTTCGAAAAGAGATTGCAATATATATCCAAGGAAGAGGATACCATTCGATCCAGAATGAAAAGGCGTTCTAACAGTTTTCGAAGAATGACTAGGAATCTCATTATATTTTCTGTTCTTTCTGAGGTAAACTACCTCCTTCATTATAGTTTTTTGATCGCCTATAAAGTATCAAGTTACATTAATCTCATCATTCAACTATCAGTATGTTGTGAAAGTATTTTGGATTGCTGCTACATTCATAACCTAGCTGAGTTGATGCAAAAAAACCATTTTCTCCAAGCATACTTATAGCGATTGTTGTTACTTAATCCTGGTCGATACATTTGGCAAGTAACGTACTATGTTTTCTTTTCTTTGCAAAAATTGTATAGTGGTACTGTGTTTTCTAAATGTAACTCTCAGGCCTCATTCCATATGATTTGTTCTGAAGTTTTGCTATCTAGTCCCTGTGGTGGTTTTTCTCCATGTTCAAATCCTTATGATTTGAAAGATCTTTACGTACTTTGACTGTTTCAATAATTACTGCATGTATCTACATGGTTTCTGGGGAGACCATAAATTTTCATTATGCTTATCCATAATCTTCGGTGCTAGAGCGCTCTCTGCCAGGAAATTGGAACGGTAGGGGAAATGTTTTCGGCTGAAGATGTGTGGAAATCACGTGATTTTATTGTGTATGCACCAAATGTTTATGGTCTTTGTCTTTTATTGCAGCAAGACATTATAAACTTTTAATAATTAGAGTTAAGAGAATATTTATATGGTGCATACTAATAAATTGGGATCTCTAATTCTATGTTAGAAATACTGAAAATAGAGTAGTAATCATTTTTAGGGCAGGGGAGGGATGTGTTGATGTGCGAAGGTTGATGGGGTTGAGTGTGGTGTGGGGAATGAGATTGGGGAATATATATAATAAATTATACATATATGATGTTATGTTTTTGTATATGCGCGCATGTATTTGAATAGATAGATAGAACATGTAAATCATACTTCACAGTTTATATTGATAACTACCGGGGCTCTATTGTTTCCAGTTGCTTGTTGATTTGGTGAACCCAAGCATTGCATTTTACTTATTATTTTTTTTATTTCTTCAGATAATCGCAGTGGGTTATGCTATAATGACCACAAGATCCGTAGAGTTGAATTGGAAAATGAGGGCATTACGAGTCTTACCTATGTTTCTGCTGCCAGTATTTTCTGTTGTTACATTTTCAGCTCTTAGAAGTTACACAAGGATCCGTAAGTATATCATTGCTATTTGTAATCTAACTTTTATCCTTTTTTGTTTCGTTCATATTTTCCACTATATGGAAATATTATCCTTTTATTTTTCCAATTTTCATCCATTCATTTATATGGTGCTAAAAGTAGTTAAGTCCTTGTAGCATGTCCCCGAGTGTTTTTATAGCTTAAGTAGTTGTGAGTTTGTTTTCATTCATTGTGACACTTTTGCTGAGTAGGCTGCTTACAAAATCCAAAGTCAGGAATCCTTATATTTTATTCATCTAGGTTGGGTATGTCAAGGCCATGTGGGAAAGCTAAACTATAGAAACATATGAAGGTGCGTGGAAATCATTTTGACGTCCCTATGCATGCGATGACCCTTGTTGCATAGGGACGTCAAAATGATTGTAATAAATTCCGTGTCGCTGCTTATAGCTTCTGTTCTGTATTTGATTCACTGGAATCAGTTTTGGGCCATTAATTTTTCATGTGGAAACATTCTGAGGCGCAACCTTGAAGATCAGTATCTCTATTGATGGTGTTACATATTGAAAAATATTATTCACAGGTGACCGGATGGACGAGAAGACATTGAAAAGGCTTGAGGCTGAAGCACTAGAAAAGATGGATGAACTGAAAGAGAAATCAAATTATTACCACACTCAACAGCTGATACAGGTAATGAACGAAAGCTGGCTATTGTCTTCTGCTTGTATTGATGAACCTACACCTTGTATGAATTCGCTCTACTATGCCGTTTTTGCATTCTTTTGGGAGTTCCCTGTCTCCTATTTTTGAAAGCTAGAACGAGAAGTGATAGTTAAAAGATGCAGGCTATAAATAGTTACCTATGTAGGTGTTCGTATTAGGTTTGTCTATATATTCAATTCCTGTCTAGCTAATTCAAACATTAAGGTCTGTTATAGATACCTCCCCTGAGCTTTTGTCTAAATACGGGTGCACCTCCCCCAGCTTCCCAAAATTATATGCACCTCTCGTACCACGAGCTGAGTGTCTATCAGAGAAACCTTCAACATTGTCCTAAAATAACTCTGTTGCCCTTCGATAAAAGAAACGCAAACCTTTTTTGAGGTTTTTTTCTGAATCACAGCAACCACTCTTGAGGTTTGTCTCATTACAGTTACATCCCTTTTTGTTTAACATTTAGACCCCAGGTGGTTTTATCCTGATAAAATAATAAGACGTCTGCTACATTTAAGGCACTCTTAACATGATCAAGCCAAAAGTTAATCCAAACTTAAGTTCATGATACTAAGATCTAGACATAGTTTTAGTGCCATTATATTCGTCTTCCGCCAGCATCATCTTCCATAATCATAATGCTTGTCGTTGAAGGAAACTCTTGAGTAAACTTTCGACATAATATTTGATGATATCAACTATATTGCGCCTTCATTGAAATATAAAATATAGAAGACAAGGAAAATTAAATGCAAGAAATTTTATGTAATAAATTTTCTATACACTACTCGGTTAATTATAATTATAATTTAAATGAATTTATTTACTTAGTAGCATTGTATAATGCTATTTCAAAGTACATACATCATATTTCACAAAATAACGAAAGCAAGGGTATGCAGACCATTTTGAGAGGGCAAAATTGTATGTTCAACTTTTTCCCTCGTCATTTCGACTTAAAACCATTAGTAACAAGGTCTAGTTGTTAGATTGCAACAAAAGACACGGGTGTTTAAAGTAATTCTCTGTAATTAATTATCTCTGAAAAATTATTAGATTCTTAACGTGGTTTCTTCAGTGCAGAAGTATGACCGTGATCCAGCAGCCAAGGCAGCAGCAGCCACCTTTCTGGCACACAAGCTGGGTTCAGATTCTGGTCTCAGAATACATTTGTCAGACGAAGGTAACCTCAACAATGCTCCCACTACTGGAAAGAGCAGCGACGTTCAACTTGCAACAACAAGTAGTGGACTTCGCCACAGGACACACTCCAACTCTAAAACCAGTAGCATCGATAGTGGGTCCCCACGTAACCGCCATGAAGATTTAATGACTGGCCGTGCTGGACTTGATGAGATTGCTGACATGTCACAGCAGCGGCAGCTGATTGTCGAGCATCACCCTCAAACAAGTTCGAGCTCAAACGATGGTGGATGGATTGCTCGACTTGCTGCCTTGCTTGTGGGAGAGGATCCTACCCAATCGTACGCACTTATTTGCGGAAACTGCTATATGCACAACGGTAAATACAAAAGTCTTCGGTGCAATATTTCTATATATATAATTTTTTTGAATTTAATTACTGTTATAAATGAGAAAGTAAGGGAAATGGCAGAATTCGAACCTTGTACCATGATCTAATATGGAGTAGTTAATACTTGGGTCTCGTTTGGTTGGGTAGATTAGCCATGATTAACTAATAACTGGACTTTGTTTGATGTTTGACCCAATAATATTTCCGGGTCGACCCGGAAATATTATTTTTATCTTGGCTCTTAGGGAGATTATTTATTGGACAGTACATGGTTGAATAATGCAATTGGGGCTTCTTACTTAATCTTATCTTGACTAACTCTATCTCCGCAACCAGACGAGGCCTTAATATGCTATTTGGTAATGTTTGTAGGGCTTGCAAGGAAAGAGGACTATCCATACATCACTTATTACTGCCCACATTGCCATGCATTGAATAAGCCAAAGCAAAGTGATGATCGCGCTTCTGCTTCTGCTTCTGATTCTCCTACTACGACCTCATTGCCAGCTGTAATGCCAGCTGTCTTGCCAGCTGTAGAGGAAGTGGATGCTGCAGATGTGGTTCCGAGTGCGGGTAGCTCGACCGAGGAGGAGAAGGTTTCTCCGAGCGGCAGCTCTGTAGCTGCAGATGAGGAGATCTCTGAAATGTAGAAGAATCTGGTTGGGTGAGTTTGTGTGTGTGTCGATTGATTTCGAGAAAAGGTACACAAGGTTTCCCCTTCTTATTTTTATTTTTTTTCACGCGAAAAGTAGTGTTGTTGTAAACATTACTTTGATGAAAGAGTTGTATATTGTTTTGCAACAAATTATAGTAGACTGACTTTTTTTTGTTTTGTTTTCATCATTTTCTCTTACATCATTGTTCGTTCCAATGTATGGTACCGATTGATGTGTCGTATTTCCAATGATTTTTATTTTTCTTTTTATTTTTATTTTTTAGAAAAAAATTATAGAGAACACACTTTGTGAGATTGGAATGCCAACAGCCAAAATTCCTACTTGCAGCAAACTGCATAATTTACCTTTATTTTTGTTTTAATAAAAAAAATATCTGCAGGGAGATGATGTCATTATTCAATATTAATAAATATTTTATTTTTTATTTTTTGTCATGCTGACTGGGCCATACATGTCTGTCTGCAAGATTCCCTAAAAGCACCATCGTGTCAGCTCCTCATTGGATAATCACATACATCCCCATCATCCAATGAAAGATGGAATATAGTAGCAGTTTATTGTATATTACAGTGTTCAAATCTAATATTTTATAAAAGTAATTGTATGTTAAATAAAAAGTATATATTATTAATAGATATTTAACTAACACTACAGTTAAAAACCGTGTCATAAAAGAACAAAAAAACAGAATGGTGGGAATTCTGCATACTTGACAGTCTTGTAATAGAAAAATGTTAATTATCTTAAACAAACTTAAACATGTAACCCTCCTTGAAAAGATAACAATGACCTAATAATTTGTATATATATATATATATATTTTATTTTTTTTGATAATTGTAATAATTTGTATTTAAGACTTAGATGGTAACGCAAACACTTTTTCAAAGTGATTATGAGCTTTTTAATTAATGATTAAAAAAACTGATTTTGAACCAAAAAAACTCATAATCACTTTGAAAAAGTGTTTGCAAACGTCACCTTAAGTGTTTAATTCCCTTCTTTAGCTTGTAGTACTTACTACATTCAAACATAAACAAAAGTTTAATGTAGGATATATATATATATATATATATATATATATGAAAAACCTCAATGTTTGATTTGCTAATTTCATGTCAACCCACAAACATTACATTATATTGAA